TGGCTGTGAAGTGGGACTGTGACTGTGAAGTGGGACTGTGACTGTGAAGTGTGACTGTGAAGTGGGACTGTGAAGTGTGGCTGTGAAGTGGGACTGTGAAGTGTGACTGTGAAGTGTGGCTGTGAAGTGTGACTGTGAAGGGCTGTGAAGTGTGACTGTGAAGTGTGACTGTGAAGTGTGACTGTGAAGTGGGACTGTGAAGTGTGGCTGTGAAGTGTGACTGTGAAGTGGGACTGTGACTGTGAAGTGTGACTGTGAAGTGGGACTGTGAAGGGCTGTGAAGTGTGACCGTGAAGTGTGACTGTGAAGTGGGACTGTGAAGTGTGACTGTGAAGTGTGACTGTGAAGTAAGACTGTGAAGTAAGACTGTGAAGTGAGACTGTGAAGTGTGACTGTGAAGTGTGACTGTGAAGTAAGACTGTGAAGTAAGACTGTGAAGTGAGACTGTGAAGTGTGACTGTGAAGTGGGACTGTGAAGTGTGACTGTAAAGTGTGACTGTGAAGTAAGACTGTGAAGTGTGACTGTGAAGTGTGACTGTGAAGTAAGACTGTGAAGTCAGGCTGTGAAGTGTGACTGTGAAGTAAGACTGTGAAGTAAGACTGTGAAGTGTGACTGTGAAGTGTGACTGTGAAGTGTGACTGTGAAGTCAGGCTGTGAAGTGTGACTGTGAAGTGGGACTGTGAAGGGCTGTGAAATGTGACTGTGAAGTGTGACTGTGAAGTGTGACTGTGAAGTGTGGCTGTGAAGTGGGACTGTGAAGTGTGACTGTGAAGTCAGGCTGTGAAGTGTGACTGTGAAGTCAGACTGTGAAGTGGGACTGTGAAGTGTGGCTGTGAAGTGTGACTGTGAAGTGGGACTGTGAAGGGCTGTGAAGTGTGGCTGTGAAGTGTGACTGTGAAGTGGGACTGTGAAGTGTGACTGTGAAGTGTGACTGTGAAGTGGGACTGTGAAGTGTGACTGTGAAGTGTGGCTGTGAAGTCAGGCTGTGAAGTGTGACTGTGAAGTGTGACTGTGAAGTGTTACTGTGAAGGGCTGTGAAGTGTGACTGTGAAGTGTGACTGTGAAGTGGGACTGTGAAGTGTGACTGTGAAGTCAGGCTGTGAAGTAAGACTGTGAAGTAAGACTGTGAAGTCAGGCTGTGAAGTAAGACTGTGAAGTAAGACTGTGAAGTGTTACTGTGAAGTGTGACTGTGAAGTGTGACTGTGAAGGGCTGTGAAGTGTGACTGTGAAGTGTGACTGTGAAGTGTGACTGTGAAGTCAGACTGTGAAGTGGGACTGTGAAGTGGGACTGTGACTGTGAAGTGTGACTGTGAAGTGGGACTGTGAAGTGTGACTGTGAAGTGTGACTGTGAAGTGTGACTGTGAAGTAAGACTGTGAAGTCAGGCTGTGAAGTAAGACTGTGAAGTAAGACTGTGAAGTCAGGCTGTGAAGTAAGACTGTGAAGTGTGACTGTGAAGTGTGACTGTGAAGTGTGACTGTGAAGTGTGACTGTGAAGGGCTGTGAAGTGTGACTGTGAAGTGTGACTGTGAAGTGTGGCTGTGAAGTGGGACTGTGAAGTAAGACTGTGAAGTGTGGCTGTGAAGTGGGACTGTGACTGTGAAGTCAGGCTGTGAAGTGTGGCTGTGAAGTGTGACTGTGAAGTCAGGCTGTGAAGTCAGGCTGTGAAGTGGGACTGGGGGCTGAGTGTGTGACTGTGAAGTAAGACTGTGAAGTCAGGCTGTGAAGTCAGGCTGTGAAGTGGGACTGGGGGCTGAGTGTGTGGCTGTGAAGTGTGACTGTGAAGTCAGGCTGTGAAGTCAGGCTGTGAAGTGGGACTGGGGGCTGAGTGTGTGACTGTGAAGTCAGGCTGTGAAGTGTGGCTGTGAAGTGGGACTGGGGGCTGAGTGTGTGACTGTGAAGTCAGGCTGTGAAGTCAGGCTCTGAAGTGGGACTGGGGGCTGAGTGTGTGACTGTGAAGTGTGACTGTGAAGTGTGACTGTGAAGTGTGACTGTGAAGTAAGACTGTGAAGTGTGACTGTGAAGTATGACTGTGAAGTAAGACTGTGAAGTGTGGCTGTGAAGTAAGACTGTGAAGTCAGGCTGTGAAGTGGGACTGGGGGCTGAGTGTGTGCGGTGTTCCGACTCGCCTCGGGTGGCCGCGGACGAGAGGCTGGCCGGGCGCACGACGGCTGGGGCCACGAGAAGCGTCGTCGATGCCACGTGGCCCCGCAGGCCACCACTAAAGCGGACGCCCCGCTCTGGCCGTGGCGACGCCCTCCCCCGATATATCGACACATTATAAAATCTCACGATGTCGTTAAATTCAACGATATATAATGAAATCCTACGATATATCATAACATCCTACGATGAAGCATAAGATTCTACGATAAGCAAGATCCTACGATATATCGTCAAATATCTTACGATATATCGTAAAATCCTACGATATATTGGAAAATGCTACGACAGGGGTCGGGAACCTATGGCTCGCGAGCCAGATGTGGCTCTTTTGATGATTGCATATGGCTCGCAGATAAAACAAAATATTCTCACTTGTTTTAATCCATCCATCGATTTTTCACTGCGCATGTCCTGTTCAGGGCTGCAGGAGCAATTGTCCATTATTTTAATTGGATGATACTGGCCTACGTTTGCCGTTGCTGGGTAAAACAGGTAAACGCCCCCTTTTGAATCAGTCTGAGACTGCGTCTGCTCGGTCATTAGCTCAAAGCTAACCCTTCGACGAAGAAGATGGCGAAAAGAAAAAAAGACGACGAGTATCGTACATTTCAGGACGAATGGACCGAAGAATTCGCCTTTGTGGAGAGAGCGGGTTCTGCGGTGTGTCTAATTTGCAATGACAAAATTACATCGTTGAAACGGTCGAATGTAAAGCGGCACTTCGACACGCGCCACGCTACCTTTGCATCAAAATACCCTGCGGGAGACAGCAGAAAGAAAGCGTGCCAAGAGCTGAGCAGGGTGCAAGCTAGCCAGCAGCAACTCCGCGTATGGACCCGGCAAGGTGACTATAATTCGGCTAGCTTTGCTGGTTCTTTAGCAATAGTGAGGAACGGAAAACCATTCACAGATGGCGAGTATGCTAAAACGTTCATGCTGGATGTAGCCAATGAACTTTTTGATGATCTTCCGAACAAAGACAAGATAATCAAACGGATACAAGACATGCCTCTGTCGGCAAGAACTGTTCATGATCGTACCATCGTGATGGCAAACAAAGTGGAGGAAACGCAAGTGAAGGACATAAATGCAGCGCCGTTCTTTTCTCTGGCTTTGGATGAGTCAACAGACGTGAGCCATTTGTCGCAGTTCAGCGTGATTGCAAGATATGCTGTTGGTGACACACTGCGCGAAGAAAGTCTTGCTGTTCTGCCATTAAAAGGGTCCACAAGAGGTGAGGATTTATTCAAGTCTTTCATGGTGTTTGCTCAAGAAAAAAGTCTACCTATGGATAAACTTCTCTCAGTGTGTACTGATGGTGCTCCGTGTATGGTGGGGAAAAACAAAGAATTTGTGGCGCTTCTCCGTGAACATGAAAATAGACCCATCCTAAGTTTCCATTGCATTATACACCAGGAGGCACTTTGTGCTCAGATGTGTGACAGGCAGTTTGGCGAAGTGATGTCGCTGGTCATTCGTGTGATCAACTTTATTGTTGCCCGAGCCTTAAATGATCGCCAGTTTAAAACACTGCTGGATGAAGTTGTAAATAACTATCCTGGTCTGCTTTTGCACAGCAATGTGCGTTGGTTGTCAAGAGGGAAGGTGCTTAGCCGTTTTGCGGGTTGCCTGAACGAAATCCGGACTTTCCTTGAAATGAAAGGCGTCGGGCATCCTGAGCTAGCCGACACCGAGTGGCTCCTCAAGTTTTACTATCTCGTAGATCTGACTGAACATCTGAACCAGCTCAACGTGAAAATGCAAGGCATTGGAAATACAGTGTTATCCCTTCAACAAGCTGTATTTGCTTTTGAAAACAAGCTGGAGCTTTTCATCACGGATCTTGAAACAGGTCGTTTACTACATTTTGAAAAACTGAGCCAATTTAAAGATGCATGCACAGCAAGTGAGCCCATTCAAAACCTTGATCTCCACCAGCTAGCTGGCTGCACATCCAGTCTCCTACAGTCCTTCAAAGCACGCTTTGGAGAATTTCGTGAGCACACTCGTCTTTTTAAGTTCATCACCCATCCAAACGAGTGTTCACTGAACACAGCCGACCTGAATTACATCCCTGGTGTCTCCGTCAGAGATTTTGAAGCAGAAGTGGCTGACCTGAAGGCCTCAGACATGTGGGTGAATAAGTTCAAGTCACTGAATGAAGATTTGGAAAGAATCACACGACAGAAAGCGGAGTTGGCGAGCAAGCACATGTGGACAGAAATGAAAAAACTCCAACCCGAAGACCAGCTGATTCTCAAAACTTGGAACGCGCTTCCTGTCACATACCACACACTGCAGCGTGTGAGTATTGCTGTATTGACCATGTTTGGATCTACGTATGCATGTGAGCAGTCATTCTCACATCTTAAAAACATCAAGTCCAACCTACGATCACGTTTAACGGATGAAAGCCTCAACGCTTGCATGAAGCTTAACCTCACCAAGTACCAACCCGACTACAAAGTACCAACCCGACTACAAAGACATCAGCAAATCCATGCAGCACCAGAAGTCGCATTAATGGTGAGTGTTATAACAACATTATTTAAAAGAATAAATTCAGAGGCTTATTATACTGACATTTAGTTTAATTCACTTTTAAAATATATTATATGGCTCTCACTGAAATAAATTTCCAAATTTTTTGCTTTCATGGCTCTCTTAGTCAAAAAGGTTCCCGACCCCTGTGCTACGATATATGGTCCAGCGCCACCATGACTCACCGTGTCAAAACCCATGATGATGTCATCCATTTGTATCACGAGGTCGCGAACAACATGACACCACGGGGACGCGGCGAGTCACCTTGACTCCACGACGAATATCCAACCTCCGGGTGACGTCATTACACCATAAGTTTCGGCATTGTGTCAAGCGGCATGACGTCATTCGACGCCTATCCGCTGTGGGAATTCTACTCTCGGCAGCGCAGCGATGGAGGCTATTCTAAATGACTTCATATCGGCCGAGGATCTCATGGTGAGGCGACTCCCGCTGCTCCGGGGACTCCAGCTGTGCTCCTTGACTGTGCTCCGCCTCAATAAATATCCTCGCTTATGCTTCCCACCCACCCCACCCACGTTCTTTCCCTACTCCATACCCCTTTGCGGCCTAGTATGTCTACCCGGGTGGTCGCGCCTTTCCCGGTAGGAAATCTAGGCGAGGACGGGCCGTCGCGCCCTGCCCTCGGCGTATTAAAGTGCGAGGTTTTAGTCACAATTTAAGCAGTGCTCACTGACAATTGTTACGAGGGGGTTTTTGTTCAGAGGACGTATTCTTTATGGCTTTGGTGTTTTGCTACAATAACACCGCCGATGTCTCGCCGATGATGGTGGTGGTAGTTGTGATTGAAGGTGACGACAGTATGAGTAGCGATTATGATAATAGTAGCGGTGGTGGTGTTGGTGGTGATGTTGGTGGGTGGTGGTGGTAACAGTAGTTGTGGTGGTGTTGGTGGGTGGTGGTGGTTATGATGGTGATGATGGTGATGTTGGTGGGTAGTGGTGTGATGTTGGTGGGTGGTGGTGATGTTGGTGGGTGGTGGTAGTGATGGTGGGCGGTAGTGATGTTGGTGGGTGGTGGTGATGTTGGTGGGTGGTGGGGATGATGGTGGATGGTGGGTGGTGGTAGTGATGGTGGGCGGTAGTGATGTTGGTGGGTGGTGATGGTGGGTGGTGGCGGTGATGGTGGTGGGTAGTGGTGGGTGGTGGTGGTGATGTTGGTGGGTGGTGATAGTGATGGTGGGCGGTAGTGATGTTGGTGGGTGGTGGTGTTGATGGTGGGTGGTGGGGATGATGGTGGTGGGTAGTGGTGGGTGGTGGTGGTGGTGATGTTGGTGGGTGGTGGTAGTGATGGTGGGCGGTAGTGATGTTGGTGGGTGGTGGCGGTGATGTTGATGGGTGGTGGTGATGATGGTGGTGGTGATGGTGGTGATGTTGGTTGGTGGGGGGTGATGATGATGGTGGTGGTGATGTTGGTGGGTGGTGGGAGTGATGGTGGGCGGTAGTGATGTTGGTGGGTGGTGGCGGTGATGTTGGTGGGTGGTGATGATGGTGGTGGTGATGGTGGTGATGTTGGTGGGTGGTGGTAGTGATGGCAGTGGTGAAGGTTGCCATAATGGTAGCGATAGGAGTGATGAAAGTCATTAGTTGTGCTTCCCCTCTGATTAGCACGGTTGGCAACGTACGGTGCGAAAGAAGTTCAACATACATTATGGTAGTCCTGGTGATGATGAACATAGTGGTGACGAATGTAGTGGTGGTTTTGCCACGATGGTAGTGATTTTGGTGATAGTGGTGGTAATGATGGTAGTGGTGGTGATGGTAATGATAGCGGTGATTATGTTAATGATAATGGAATAGCCATTGTGGTTGTGACGGTAGTGGGTAGTGTTGGTGGTGGTGACAGCACAGCAAGTGCGTGTTGCCTGCCCATGTTATCTGTTGTCTGTGTCCCCGCTACTATATGTTGCCATGCCGCCCACCTGCTATAGTAGTAGCCTGCTGATGCTTACACACAGTGCTACTGTGCTTGTCCACACCGACCTCACCGCCTCTGCCTTGTCTGTCCCATTTGCGTTAGCATCGTGCTAGTCCCTCCCCCCAACCCAATCCCTGTGTCACTTATGCAAATGAGGCTATTCTGGTCCCCTGAGGTCTTACCTGGTGTAACACGCGAGCCAGTTGAGGTGGTTCGGGCACCCGGTAAGGATGACCCCCCCCACCACCCCAGTAGACTCCCCCTGGAATTCTACCGGGCGGTCCGTCCCACTGGGCGAAGACCCCAGGACACGCTGGCAGAACGGCGTCGCTCGGCTGGCCTGGGAACGCCTGGGAGTTCCCCAGGAAGAGCTAGAGTCTGTCAAGTAGTGTAGTTTATAGTAATGTAGTGTATAGTGTAGTGTATAGAAGTGTTAAGTAGTGTATAGCGTAGTAGTGCTGGAGTCTGTCGCCAGGGAAAGGGAGGTCTGGACCGCCACTACTCAACATGCTGCCGCTGCGACCCTCGCCAGTACAAGGCGGACTGAGAAGCGAACAAACGATCAAACTAGCCATTAACAATTAACTTGGCCCGTCTCTGCTTTGCCTGACCTCGCCGTTTGTGCTGTGTCTGTGCAGTGTCCTGTATCTAATCTCGCCGTTGCTGTGCTGTATCTGTCCTGTGTGCCCTGTCCGTCGTCGCCGTGGCCTGTGTGCTGTTTGACCTCGCTCTTTCTGTCCTGTATCTAACGTCGCTGTATCTGCGCACCTCCGATGAGCACAGTTGGCCATGTACGGTGCGAAAGAAGTTCAACGTACAGTACATACTGTGTCTAACCTCGCTGTGTGTATATGTAGTGTCCTGTGTCTAACCTCGCTGTGTGTATATGTAGTTTCCTGTGTCTAACCTCGCTGTGTGTATATGTAGTGTCCTGTGTCTAACCTCGCTGTGTGTGTGTGTGTGCGCGTGTGTAGAAGTTTGAGAAGAAGTATAATGCAGAGATGGCGAAGGGGCCGCTATCGCCCGCCACGCAGTTCGAGTATTCGTGGTGCCTCGTACGCTCCCGGCACAGCGAAGACGTGAAGCGCGGAGTGCGACTTCTAGAGGGTGAGGAGGGCACACCCTCACATCGTCATTAACGACGGGGTGAGCGAGTGACGGAATGAGTGAATCGGAAATTAATGAATGATTTAAGAAGTAGGAATGTTGTTGAGAGTGATGATGTTGATAAGATGACGATCTTGATGATGATAACGGTGGCGAGATGTTACCAGCCTCGCCTGGTATACAAGAGGTTGTGGGTTCGATGCCAACCCTGACGCCTGCTGTGTATTTGGAGTTTGCAGGTCTCTGTCCCTGTGGTCGCTTCGATTTTTCTCCCTGTCCGCCGGTTGTCCCCTCCACATTTAGAATCGACATCACACGTTTCAACTATTTGGCCGCTTTAAATTTCTACACGATGAGCCACTTGTGATGGCCAGGTCGCTTCTGAAAAAGAGCGATATAGCTCAATGGTGCCTTACCTGGTAAAATAAAAAAATAGTTTATAGTTAGGTTTGTTGTCGCTGTTGGTAACGACGATGTTGATATTCCCCCAGATTTGTGCCACAACGCTAAGGGAGATGAGCTTCGGGATTACCTCTTCTACATCTCTATCGGCTACTACCGGCTCAAGGTACCCAAGCCCACCACGCTCTGCATTGGGGGCAGGATAGGACTTTCAAAGTACCCATTAACATGCATAATATACAAACAACGTACATACGTTATGTGTGGCCAGGTCAGAGCTCAGTGGGCCTTACCTGGTACAATGAAAAATCGTTGAGTGAATATAGCTGAAGTGGCTTGACTACCGGACATCCGTGTCCTATCACGCGCAGCCTCATTAGCGCGTGCACAGTATTCCCGTCGAAGTTTTTGGTTTTCATGAAAACCATTTATATTATTTTGGCCTCGCCTGTCCGGTTTACCCCGAATTCTAGCTTTCTCGAGACTGCCTTCGCTTGGTTGTTACCGTAGGGCAGCGTTCTTCACTCATTTTCACACTTGGGGGGCGGGGGGGTGGGCACTTTTGCCGATTAAACAATAGTGTGAGTGAGGACTGCCACCACGCCATTTGAAATCATCGGGGGGTTTGTGATGGCGACGCGGGGTGTTGCCACCATGTGTGTATTGTCCGGGGGGCGGGGCGCAGGGGCGCACGTCAGGGGGGGCCGCCAGTGGCTCCCGCTGGGGCCTTGCGACGAAGAACGCCGCCGTACGGGAATAACATCCTGCTGTGCGAGAGACTGTCGCGTCACCGATCGGTAATCGGTAGCGGGATACTTGTCGAAAGTATCTTCTTTGGTTCTTTCGGTAAAGTCACGTAGAATGAGAATAAAATAATAAATTGATAAAATAAAATAACACAATAATATTCTCACTACGTTTTGGCCACAACACAAGCGGCCTTCATCAGGTGAAGGGACGAGACTGTCTGGTAGGACAGCGCTGGAGTGAAAAAGAGCGCTGTCCTACCAGACAGTCTCGTCCCTTCACCTGATGAAGGCCGCTTGTGTTGTGGCCGAAACGTCGTGAGAATATTATTGTGCTATTTTATTTTATCAATTTATTATTTTATTCTCATTCTACGTGACTTTAACGAAAGAACCAAAGAAGATGAAACCTTGCAGTCACGAAAGCTTTAAATCGAAATTGTCGAAAGTAATCGTCCCCGCCCCTCCTCCCCCGCGTGGTCCGACCGTGCAGGACTACGAGAAGGCGCTGAAGTTCGTGAAGACGCTCCTGCGCAAGGAGCCCACGAATCAGCAGGCGCTGCAGCTTGAGAAGCTCATCAACAAGGCCATGCAGAAAGGTGCGCGGGCACGCGTGTCTTCATCTGCCGCTATGAGCCCCATCGACACTAAGGCTCCCATAGGTTTCAGTCTGCCACTATGAGCATTAAATATTAACTCTATGCACTGAAAGAGCCCTGGTCTGGCAGCTATTGAGCCTCTGGGAGATTCTGATGATATTGAGATTCTGATGATATTGAGATTCTGATGATAATGAGAAGCTGACGATGTCACCACCGACGATGCTGCTCACGATTCTGCTGTGTTGTTGCAGACGGCCTGGTGGGCATGGCGATCGTGGGCGGGGTTGTGGTCGGCCTTGCCGGCCTTGCGGCGCTCGCCATTCACAAGGGCACGCGTTGATCGTCACGGCGACGGGCCCCGACCTTACCCACAGTGCACTGCGCCCCTCCCCCCCCCGTCTCATCCCCGTAGACCTTCCTAAATAATTTTTTGCCCTACCGGCGCTTTTACCGATTTGCCAAATAAATTCCACGCTCTGCCAAGCCCCTCGTGCTTTCTCCCAAACACATTCTACACTCTCAAGCCTTTCCACTCTCAACCCTCTCCACACGCACACACACACACATTCTCCTCCTCCACACACACAATCTCCACCCTCTCCACACACACAATCTCAACGCTCTCCACACACACAAAATCTCCACCCTCTCCACACACACAATCTCCACCCTCTCCACACACACACATTGTCCTCCTCCACACACACACAAAACCTCCACCCTCTCCATACACACAATCTCCACCCTCTCCACACACACATTCTCCTCCTCCACACACACAATCTCCACGCTCTCCACACACACAATCTCCACGCTCTCTACACACACACAATCTCCACCCTCTCCACACACACACACAAAATCTCCACGCTCTCCACACACACAATCTCCACGCTCTCCACACACACAAAATCTCCACCCTCTCCACACACACACAAAATCTCCACACATACAATCTCCACACTCTCCACATACACACAATCTCCACCCTCTCCACACACACACAAAATCTCCACGCTCTCCACACACACAAAATCCTCACCCTCTCCACACACACAATCTCCACCCTCTCCACACACACAATCTCCACGCTCTCCACATACACACAATCTCCACCCTCTACACACATCGTTACCCCAGGGCCCGTGGCGCAGACGCCACTGCGGAGTTGGGTGTTCGTCTCGAACCCCCGAGAGCAGCGACCGGTCGCGCGACTGCAGCCGGTTGCCGGAGACGTTCCCGCTCACACGAGCATCTCGGTCACAGGCGCGCGACCCAAGATGCACAACCGCTCGCTCGGGTGTGAGCCAGCGGGGCTGCCCTGCGTCCGTCGGGCGAATCGGCAGGGAGGGCAGCTGACCCGCTGGGATGGTGTGCCGCGTGCTTTGCCCCCTCAATGGTTCTTCTTCATGGCGACTTGCGAACTCCCAACGTTAATGCCGTTTTGCCGTCGCTCGCTCGTCCGCTGTCATTCGCTGGGCCGCGTGCCGCTACTGCCGCCGCTGTTGACGTGTAACTCGACCGCTGGCGTGTTCGCCGATGCGCTCACTAACTCGTTCGCCGACGTGCAGGAGAAGTAAAATCCCGCTCTTGGGGGTGGGTCGGCCTGCTAGCATCGGTGGTCTCATCCAACATGGCCATCATCATCATCATCCCTTCAATCAGTCACCATCATCAGCTTCATCATCGCAATCAGTCCTTGGCATCAACATCATCATCATCATCCTTCCACGACCAATAAAGTGAACGGCGCACGTTTATGCGAGTCACTGGTGACCGTGCATAGAACACAAACTCGCTCCGCTCGAGACGCCGGCGTGATCTCTCTGGTAGGGGTGGCCGAGACCCGGATTGGAACCCAGGATTTTGATCCCCGACGTCGGAGCCACGGCGCAGCTTCCTCCACTTGCTGCGTTTCATTTTGCGTTTGGGTCTTCCCGTCGGGGAAAGCGAAGCCGCTCGCGTCGCTGACCGGTGAATCTGTCTCGTGAAACACCCCAAGTGTGTGTGTGTGTGTACGTTGAACTTCTTTCGCAGCGTGCATTGACAACCGCGCTAATCGTAGGTGGGGTCGGGGGGGGATGATGGACAACACTTGGCACAAAAAGCTGTTTTAAAGGTAACGAGTTTTCGATCTAGATTTTAAAAAGTTAAATCTTATTCACCCCAATTGACAAAATTCACCTGCAACCAACCTCTACTCGAATTCACGTACCCCCCCCCGCCCCCCGATGCTTGTGAGAGCTCGCACGCTAAGCAGGATGTTCACTGTTTCGCGCTTGGATGAGCGACCGCCGTGCCTAACGGGTGATATCGGCTGCCGCTCCTGCCGTCAGCAGAGGGGCAGTGCAGCGAAACCATTATTGTACCGTACAACAATGTCTGTGCTCCCCGTCTCCGCTGACCTGCACAGTGGGATAAACCCCACAACATGGAATCCCTCGTCCAGGAGCGGATTGGCCACGGGTTTATACATGTACATATGCAAGTTAGTAATTTACGGGCCACTTTGCCAATCTACTGCTGGATGAAGGCCCTCCCCTCTCCCCCCCCCCCCCCCAGTGTGTTGGTTCCGGGGTTTGACCATACTTCACCACGCAGGTCAGCGCGGGGCTGAAGTGTAGAGATCGGCTGGGAGGGGGGGGGTGGGTGTTGTGTTCCCAGGACCGGTTCGGGTATCGCCTGCCACTGCCGTTAGCCGCGGTGGGGCTGGGAGTCGTGGCCAGAAAGTGAGAACCCCGATGCGATGTCCTAGATTTGATATGCTGTAGCGCAGGGTGACCCGACTTGGGCCTCTTGGGTGCGTGGTCGTTAATAAATCTCCGCGTGACTCCCCTCGGCGTGTCCTCTCGGCGTGTCCTCTCGCGGTCCCCTCTGTCGAAGGCCGGGCGGCCGCGGCGCTGCGCTTCAATCGGCCACCTTAACGCCACGTGGAGGCTGCCTTGGCCTGCTGCTCGTATTCACGTTGAACCTCTTTCACACTACGTAGCCAACCGTGCATGTTGAACCGCTTTCACACGGTACGTAGCCAACCGTGCTATGTATGTTGAGCTTTCACACTGTACGTAGCCAACCGTGCTATCATGTTGAACTTCTTTCGCACCGTACATAGCCAACCGTGCTATCATGTTGAACTTCTTTTGCACCGTACGTAGCCAACCGTGCTATCATGTTGAACTTCTTTTGCACCGTACATAGCCAACCGTGCTATCATGTTGAACTTCTTTCGCACCGTACGTAGCCAACCGTGCTATGTATGAATGTTGAACTTCTTTCGCACCCTACGTAGCCAACGGTGCTATGTATATATGTTGAACTTTTTTTGCACTATGGAGCCAGCTGTGTTTAAATGGGAGGTGTGGGGGGGGGAAAGACTACAACCTAAACGCAAAAAGCAGTTCTAGAAGAAATGAGATTTCAGTCTAGATGATTTAAAAGTGCGTAGCTCCAGTGGCTTCCTAGTATCGGAAGAGTTTGTGGAGGTGAGGCTTGGTGTCACGAAAACGTCGTGCCACACTCCCCGTTATGTTTTCGTCGGCTGCATTAACGCCGCGTGGAAGCTACTTTCGCCTTTCGCTCCATACAGTGCTACGGGTCTTCTCGGCCACAGTTTTGACCTCTCTTCCCGATGCTTGCAAAACGTGGAGCCCATCTCACAAGAACAACGACAACAGGCATGCCGGTTTCACACGATCCCGCTCACGGGCAACACCAGCGACATGGATACGCACCTCCGATTAGCAAGTTTGACTACGTACGGTGCGAAAGAAGTTAAACACATGCATCACCACTATACCACCACTACATCCACTATCACCATCTCACCACCATACCACCACGACATCCACTATCGTCACCATCTCACCACCACCACATCCATTATCACTACCACCAACACGACATCCTGACTACAACATCCACTATTGTCTGCACCTCCGATTAGCATGTTTGGCTACGTACGGTGCGAAATAAGTTGAATATGCGCGCACACGCACACGGACACGATCCATCCTGCGCATAACCGAGCTGGAGCATGGTAGTCATAAATAAAATGAAGAGGACTCGTGACACCACAACGTTGAAAAAGCTCCATGCGGCATTTACTGCACACCCTGGTGATCGCTCCTCGCATTGAGTAGAAATCAGAAATAAAATTTATACCGACGAGAGCATCGTTGAAGGAGGCTGAGTTCGCAGAGAGAGAGATTGACGGCCGTGGCCGGGTGGAGATTGTTCTCGTCTGGCCTTCACGACGGCCGTGTTGGCAAACACTCAAGCTAACACCGCTGATCGCCTGGGTTCGAATCGAGCTGTTTCTGTCACTGGTCACCGGGCTGAGACCCATCAACTCGCCACACTTGACGCGATTTAACCGCAACTCGGTCTGTGCGAAATCTACGGGTCTGTGTAAGTCTGTCTCTCCATGATCCCACGGGTCTCGATGCAATTATTTGGTGGTCGCGATAATTGAGAACCCGATTCAATAACAACTCAGAGTGTGTGTGAAATAGAGAGGCCTCTGTCGGCCTGTGGATCTCTCTGCGAGTCCGTGGGTCTCAACACGAGTGTGCGGGTCCTCCTGAGTGAGCCACCGGTGACCGAGTGGGGGGCCAATCCGACTCCCTTACACTTGAGAACCCGATTTAAGTCACGGGATTGGGCGGCCGAAGAAACCCGGATTCGAACCCAGGATTCTCGGCAGCGGCGAGGCCGTCGACGTGGCCATTGTGAACCCCGCCGAGGCTCTCGGTCACTGCCCGAGTGTCCGACGGCCCCGCGGCGAACGCCTCAACGCCGCCGAAATGTTTCCCCGACACGAAGCTCCGCCACCGTTTTGTTGACGAAACGTCTTGAACCGCGCGACACCGGCCAGAGTGGAAAACCAACCCCCCCCCGACACCCCCGACCCACGCCATTCCGTGGGCCACAACAATCCCAAGGGAGGCACAAAGTGGCGGCCCGTGGGGACCCCACCGGCTGTGGGGACCCCACCAGCACGTGGGGCCCCCATCCGGCACGTGGGGGCCCTACCGGCTGTGGAGCCCCCACTGGCACGTGGGGCCCCCACCGATCGTGGGGCCCCCACCGGCACGTGGGCCCCCACCGGCACGTGGGGCCCCCACCGGCACGTGGGGCCCCCACCGGCACGTGGGGCCCCCACCGGCACGTGGGGCCCCCACCGGCACCTGGGGCCCCCACCGGCACCTGGGGCCCCCACCGCACCTGGGGCCCCCACCGGCACCTGGGGCCCATGACCGCACTGGGGAGACAGGAGTCAAGACGGCCACGTCTGGAATCGCAAGACCGCTGGGATGACCACCGTCCCACCGCCTGTGGAATGGGCATCCCCGAAATAAACCCCCATGGGGATTATTATTATTATTTTTGGCTATGGCAAAAGGCACGTGACTGTACGATGCGGTAATCTAACCAGGACCAGAGGCGTTGACAGTCCGGTCGAGCCGACCACCTTACTCGCCAAATCGGCCATCAAGATCAGCCGACAACGCCGTCAGCTCATACGGGAGACGATAGTTTGAAGGCAGCATACGGCGAAACGTCGGACACTGCGCGGGAACAAGAACCCGAGCGCGCGTTAAGAGGGCGAGCGCTAAAAC